CTTTAAAAGTGAAATGGAGACTTCAATCAAGTTTGGTGTTCTGGTTCAAGATTTATGTGGTTTGTAAGTTGTGGCCTTGTTCCTTTTAACATGTATATAGGGATTCAGATAATACCTCTGAAGGATATTTGATACACAGTGACCTTTATTGAAGACACAAGAGATACTTAAGTGTGAACAAAATTTCCTCTGTCTCCTTAAAAAATCAGACTACTGGCGACTTATTAAATGATTTTTGCAAGACACTGAATGTATCTTACATATATAATAGTATAAGATATATATAGGTTACGCTGTCTCCTAGAGCATATCCATAGAACACCAACTACCCAGGCTTTCCTATAGTTAGGAGTCAGTCTTGGTAGCCTTAGTGAACCAGGTCACAAAATGTTTCCAGGCCGGTTTGTTTCTTGATAGATTCAATAGGACAGTGTCATTGAATGAGGGCAGTCCAAGAAGCATAACCGTCTGGAATTGCTGTAGTTGAAATGCTGGATCTTCGGTTTACGAGACCGACGCCTTACTACTCGGCCACTTAGCCATATGTAGTTGAAATGATGGGCAGCTTATATATATATAAAATGGAAGATAAAAAAATGAAAGTCACCTGAATGACATAGATAAAATATTTACTGAATAAACATGGTTTTAATCGGGTGGCCCATTATATACAGTTAAACCTGTCTATAGCGCCCCCTCTTGGGACTCACCAAAATAGGGTGCTATACAGAGGGGGCGATATAGACAGGTTATTTTAATGTAAATCGCATCGTACTACCTATTTAAAATCGGGCGCTATGGAGAGGGAGGCGCTATTTAGAGGGGGTGCTATAGACAGGTTTATTTGTATCAGGTTTGTGATGAAAAATTTACTATGAAGAAATAAATCTTGTTCCTATTCTAAAATCACTTTACTAGGTACCGCTCAAAAAGAACAACCTAGTTTATGGTATTTACAACAATGAATAATAAGTGAAGGTTATTCACATATTAAACAAAATGTTCACGTGGGATTCGATCCCGGTTCATGACTGTCGGGAATCGAGGGTGTTACCCACTTGTCCACCGACTTCTTTTCTAAGAAATAAATGGAGGTATATCATACTCAGGGTTCGGAATTTGGGATACAACGTTGGTTGGTTCCTTGGTTAATTCAAACTCTACTATAAAAACTTTTCTACCTGAAGATTTGGGGGCATATTCAAAGCTACCGGCGAATAAAAAAAAACTAGTGTATCAGAGAAGGAAAATTGTTCATGGGGAAAAATTTAAATAAAAAGCGTTGAGAATATAAAAAAATGGCAGCCACACAATTTTTGGGGAAACCTCTCACTGCCAAGTGGGGAACGATAAATGAATAAAAAATATATTTAACATTTCCTGTTTTTTATCATCGAGTGAAAATTTGAATTTAGAAAATATCGATTGTTTCCTGTTTAAATAAAATTCAAATTTAAAGTTCAAAGTTAGTTGTAGGTGTCGACAGGGGGAGTTCAGAATTCAACCAAGAAAAAATAAATAATGAGCCTCTTAATGATCATTTACAAAAGGTTATAGCAGAAATATATACACTCATGGACAAAACTTAAGAACGTTTTTTTTAGCTAGAATATCGGGATTCAGATAATAACACTAAAATATATTTGATACACAGTGACCTTTATTGAAGACAGGAGATAACCAAGTGTGAATTGCCTATGATTCCTTGAAAAAAAAAACAACGACCTTCCAAAAAGAATAGGCAACTTCTTTAAGTTTTGTCTCATCTATTAAATTATATCAAATCCTTCAAAAATACCTCTGGGAAAACCCCAGGACTATAATAGAAAAGCTGAGACAATGGAACCTAATAGAGATTGTTTAAACGACTTGAGGAATAAGCACCAACAATAAATACATGTGGATAAATAAGGTTATACAATTATATATGGGACAAATATGTGAATGGTACAAAATTGATTAATCAAGATTTTTGTCGAAACGTCGAGGTAATAAAAAGATTTACTGGCCGAAGTATCTTTATTTATAAGAAATATGAATGCCGGCCAGGCAGCCTCTATTTTTACAACAACAGTTCTGTCTATGAGTGTATTTGAGCAATGGTGCAGAGGTTTAATGGAGAATATACCCAGAAGTGGGAGTTTAAGAGCGAAAACCTCACACTGATAGAGAGATTTGAAAAAATACATATTTTGTCTTAATTTTTAATTTAAACAATTTTGAAAATATTATAAAGAAAATAAAGTGTCCAGGGCTAAGTTTCTTGCTCAAATTTTTATTCTCTAGCTTTCGGACCTGTCAGTCCTTCCACAGGAGTGGAATTTTGAAAATACTTTGAAAGAGTTTAGAGAGATTTTGAAGATATTTGGAAATATTTGAGAGAGAAAAAGATAAATATATTTACACTGATTTATATTACAATGGGCATATATAATTATTATGATGCATTAGCGCGCCATCTGTTATGAAAATTCGAAACTAATATATATACTCGTATATGCATTATATACAACTATATACAATGAACATGGCGCCTCTGCCAGCGCTGCAGAGTTTGGTGGAGAATCGCCAGGCGGGTCCCTAGCGACACCACGCAAACTATTATAGACGCGATTCGAAACTATTATAGACGCGTATGATTCTTTTAAAAACTAAACAATTTCTACTGCCCTTACTGTAATGAAAAGAATATTATATTTTGGTTTGAAAGTAATGAATACATGTGGATAAATAAGGTTAAACAATTATATATGGAACAAATATATAAATGGTACAAGATTGATTAATCAAGAATGGGTATTTGGCCAATTTTGGAATAATTATAAATCAACGAAAAGTTGATATTTATTCATATAGATGGCGCAAACGTTTAAGTTGCAGGATAAGGAGATGCTTTTTATTTCTTTCTTAATCTTTTATAGTTATCAAAATTCCACATATATATAATTTGGTCGGTGGACGAGTGAGTAACACCCTCGATTCCCGACAGTCATGAACCGGGATTGAATCCCGCGTTAACATTTTGTTTAATATGTGAATACCTCACATATTATCCATTGTTACAATTATCACAAACTAGGTTGCTCTTGTTGAGCGGTACCTAATAAAGTGATTTTGGATATATAATTTTATATTCATTATGTTGAAAATATAAATATAAAATTATATCATTGTAATAAATAAATATATTTGTACCGTTATGAGTATATGCACATATATTAGTAAATTATTTTTGATAAAAAAACTAGCCGAATTACAGATAGAATAAAAAAACTAGATTATCATATTTCTTTCAACCCTTGATAAATTTCTTCGATGAAACATAATGCACATCTGGAAAGAAAAGGGATTCCGTTTTTATTTCTGTGTTCCTGACAGAGGAAAAAAATAATTTTTTCAAGATTTATATTTGGAAATTTATTTCGAAATAAGTGCACGTCTCTCTGGCTGGCTGCAATACATCTCAGCCGATCAATTTGGCTTGTTGGAGAACAAAATAGAATAGTTTGGATTAAGTCAAGATATCTCTAGTGTATATATTGTTAGCTTCCTCTGGTCATTGTCTCTTAGTAATAAAAAAAGTCTCACTTATATTGTAGGTGATAAAATTATTTATTTAAAAATACACACGACAACTAAAATTCTACTGAAAGAAGTAGCACGTGCCACGACGCTACCATTGTCACTTGTACTATGTGGCCTCGACACCTGATTGGTCGGGCCGCTGCGACCATTGGGGAGGCGGGCTTCTGACACCCGGGTTGCCGCGGGCCGTCTGCTAGGAATGTCTCTTACAATATTGTGTGAGTGTTATTATTAATATATTACAAGTTTCACCTCTAAATCTGTTTTTAGCATATTGCCACGTGGAAAATTAGGAAAGACAAACTTCAGGATGACACAGCAATTTATTTATGGCAAGAACAAACTATGAATGATAAACAAAAGATAAGCACTGAGAGAAGTTTACAGGGTAGGAAATATAAACATTAAAAATGATACTCTGTTAATAAAATAATAAATACTCTGCTACAAAATAATTAATTATACAGTAGACCCTCCATGAGAGGACACTCCCGCTAGAGGAAATCTCTCTTTAAAGGACAGTTTTTATTTGCAAAATTACCATTTTTACTATTTTGATACTCTCTGGTAAGAGGACATCTCTCCCTAAAGGACACTTTGACTCTGCAATTAGGTGTACTTTACTGGGAAGTTCTACTGTAGTAACACTATTTTAGCGCGTATGGTGTGTAGTGATAATTAATTTCGAATATATATTAGAAAAACACACACACAGCGCACATATCTCTATAGGAGTTATTGGACGGAATGTGAACAGTATAAAGAAAAATCATTATAGCACGAATGTTTCTTTTAAACATAAAACATACTTTTCTACTGTCCTTACTGCGATGAAAAATATATTGGGAGGGCTTGGCTCACATAAATGGTGAACCCTCCCTGCAAGTCTACTAATTTAATCTACCATACCGCTTTAATATTACATTTGGCTGTTTGCCCTCTATACTGATACTGATGTTAAACTCTTGGAAGATGTATTTTGTAATTTCAATTTGCATGAAGGCATTGCTCGAAGAATTTTATATATTTATAATTGTATGTATTTTTTACTGTCCTCAAAGCCTATGTCATTAATTAATTTAAAAATACCTTTTCCAAGAGGTCAGCTCCAGCATCGGTATAAAAGGAAAACAGCAAAATGTAATATTACCGCGGTATGGTAGATTAAACTGGAGAAACCTCTAAGAGGATTCACCACTGATGAGCCAGGCCCTTCCATTATTTTATCACTAGACGAATGGCCCGGGCAACGCCCGGGTTTTACCCGAGTGCGTATATATTTTAAAAATGTTTTAATTAAAATACCATTCGCTACAATTATAAATTGGCGCCGTGGATGTCTCTCTTGTGAAACTTCCGCGCCAAACTGTGTGTGTCTTGAAAATATAAAAATAAAAATGTGAACGGAAAAATATGTCCCGGGTAGCCTAGTGGTCATGGCATCTGCCCGGTAAGCGGAAGGTCGTGGGTTCGATTCCCGCTCCTGGACACTTTTATTTTTCCGTTCGCCATTACTCTTCATATTTTTCACCCTCCATACGTCATCCATTCATATATAGACCATCACTCTTCATATATTCAACCTTTTCATACGTCATCCAAAAGTTAGAAATATTAAATTATTTCTCTTTGAAATTAAAAATGATTTTTCATAAATAAAAAGAAACTTATGCGGTTAAACTGGTTGTATAGCTTTATAATTATACGCCGCAGTCATTTATAAGTATTATTAGTCAGTTTAAATATTAGTTACGAACGGAGAAATATCGTCCAGGATAGCCTAGTGGACATGGCACCTGCCCGGTAAGCAGAAGGTTGTGGGTTCGATTCCCGCTCCTGGACACTTTTATTTTTCCGTTCGCCATTACTCTTCATATTTTTCACCCTCCATACGTCATCCATTCATATATAGACCATCACTCTTCATATATTCAACCTTTTCATACGTCAACCAAAAGTTAGAAATATTAAATTATTTCTCTTTGAAATTAAAAATGATTTTTCATAAATAAAAAGAAACTTAAGCGGTTAAACTGGTTGTATAGCTTTATAATTATACGCCGCAGTCATTTATAAATAATAATAATAATAATAATAATAATTATTATTATTATTATTATCATTAGATAATGATAATGATCATAATGATGATGCGCGCGCACCCGTGACAGAACCGGCCGGCCGGCCCATGACGGTCGTGACTATATATGTTGATAGACGAATGGCCCGGGCAACGCCCGGGTTTTACCCGAGTGCGTATATATTTTAAAAATGTTTTAATTAAAATACTATTCGTTACAATTATAAATTGGCGCCGTGGATGTCTCTCTTGTGAAACGTCCCGCCCCAAACTGTGTGACTTGAAAATATAAAAATAAAAATGTGAACGGAAAAATATGTCCAGGGTAGCCTAGTGGTCATGGCATCTGCCCGGTAAGCGGAAGGTAGTGGGTTCGATTCCCATCCCTTGACACTTTTTTATTTTATCCATTTTGACCAAAATCTATCCGTGAACTTCACACAGTGAACTTCACACAGAGAGAATAAGGCAATTATATAAGTAGATAATCCAAATTGTGCCTTATCACACACTATTTTTTTATTTGGCCTTATTACCTTGTGTTTTTAAAATCTATGACGTAATGCCGGCGGCGCGCGCCCGTTGGCTGCCAGCGAGCACGTGACCTCCCTGTGCGCGCGCATCCGTGACAGAACCGGCCGGCCCATGACGGTCGTGACTATATATATACTGGATGGATAATAATAATAATATAATAATAATAATAATAATAATTATTATTATTATTATCATTAGATAATGATAATGATCATAATGATGATGCGCGCGCATTCGTGACAGAACTGGCCGGCCGGCCGGCCCATGACGGTCGTGACTATATAAGTTGATGGATGGATAATAATAATAATATAATAATAATTGTGCCTTATCACACACTATTTTTTTATTTGGCCTTATTACCTTGTGTTTATAATCTATGACGTAATGCCGGCGGCGCGCGCCCGTTGGCTGCCAGCGAGAACGTGACCTCCCTGTGCGCGCGCATCCGTGACAGAACCGGCCGGCCCATGACGGTCGTGACTATATATATAACTAGACGAATGGCCTGGGCAACGCCCGGGTTTTACCCGAGTGCGTGTATATTTTAAAAATGTTTTAATTAAAATACTATTCGTTACAATTATAAATTGGCGCCGTGGATGTCTCTCTTGTGAAACGTCCCGCCCCAAACTGTGTGACTTGAAAATATAAAAATAAAAATGTGAACGGAAAAATATGTCCAGGGTAGCCTAGTGGTCATGGCATCTGCCCGGTAAGCGGAAGGTCGTGGGTTCGATTCCCATCCCTTGACACTTTTTTTATTTTATCCATTCTAACCAAAATCTATCCGTGAACTTCACACAGAGTGAATAAGGCAATTATATAAGTAGATAATCCAAATTGTGCCTTATCACACACTATTTTTTTATTTGGCCTTATTACCTTGTGTTTAAAATCTATGACGTAATGCCGGCGGCGCGCGCCCGTTGGCTGCCAGCGAGCACGTGACCTCCCTGTGCGCGCGCATCCGTGACAGAACCGGCCGGCCCATGACGGTCGTGACTATATATATACTGGATGGATAATAATAATAATATAATAATAATAATAATAATAATAATTATTATTATTATTATTATCATTATCATTAGATAATGATAATGATCATAATGATGATGCCCGCGCATCCGAGACAGAACCGGCCGGCCCATGACGGTCGTGACTATATAAGTTGATGGATGGATAATAATAATAATATAATAATAATTATGCCTTATCACACACTATTTTTTTATTTGGCCTTATTACCTTGTGTTTATAATCTATGACGTAATGCCGGCGGCGCGCGCCCGTTGGCTGCCAGCGAGCACGTGACCTCCCTGTGCGCGCGCATCCGTGACAGAACCGGCCGGCCCATGACGATCGTGACTATATATATAATGGATGGATAATAATAATAATATAATAATAATAATAATAATAATAATAATTATTATTATTATTATCATTAGATAATGATAATGAACATATTGATGATGGGCGCGCATCCGTGACAGACCCGGCCGGCCGGCCGGCCCATGACGGTCGTGACTATATAAGTTGATGGAAGGATAATAATATAATAATATTAATAATAATAATAATAATTATTATTATTATCATTAGATAATGATAATGATTATATTGATGATGCGCGCGCATCCGTGACAGAACCGGCCGGCCGGCCGGCCCATGACGGTCGTGACTATATAAGTTGACTAGACGAATGGCCCGGGCAACGCCCGGGTTTTACCCGAGTGCGTATATATTTTTAAAATGTTTTAATTAAAATACTATTCGTTACAATTATAAATTGGCGCCGTGGATGTCTCTCTTATGAAACGTCCCGCCCCAAACTGTGTATGTCTTGAAAATATAAAAATGTGAACGGAAAAATATGTCCAGGGTAGCCTAGTGGTCATGGCATCTGCCCGGTAAGCGGAAGGTCGTGGGTTCGATTCCCATCCCTTGACACTTTTTTTATTTTATCCATTCTGACCAAAATCTATCCGTGAACTTCACACAGTGAACTTCACACAGAGAGAATAAGGCAATTATATAAGTAGATAACCCAAATTGTGCCTTATCACACACTATTTTTTTATTTGGCCTTATTACCTTGTGTTTATAATCTATGACGTAATGCCGGCGGCGCGCGCCCGTTGGCTGCCGGCTAAGCACGTGACCTCCCTGTGCGCGCGCATCCGTGACAGAACCGGCCGCCCATGACGGTCGTGACTATATATGTTGATAATAATAATAATATAATAATAATAATAATTATTATTATTATTATTATCATTAGATAATGATAATGATCATAATGATGATGCGCGCGCATCCGTGACAGAACCGGCCGGCCGGCCCATGACGGTCGTGACTATAGTTAATGTAGTGTCTAAGTTAATGTAGGATTCAAGTTGATATTTTCTTGAAGGTTGTTTTAAGCCATTTACAATCTGATAAAGAAGAAAAATGGAAATAAATTTCACACACACAAATCCTACCAACATGAACAAAAAAAAATCGCAAAATAAAATAAGGCTTAACAATACTATCACGTTTAAAAATTGTTTAATATCAAAAAGAATCTTACGCCTTTAAAATAGTTTTGATTTAAAATACAATATAACGCGGCTGATGATTGTAAAACGAAAATTAAAATTATACCGCGAATGTTTCTTTTAAAAATCGAAATTTATTTTCAAAGAGAAATAGCGACATTTCTAACTTTGAGGATGAGGTATGGAAAGGTGAAACATGAAGAGTAATGGAGAACGGAAAAATAAAAAGTGCCCAGGGGCGGGAATCGAACCCACACCCTTCTGCTTACCGGGCAGGTGCCTTGTCCACTCGGCTACCCTGGACGTATTTTTCCGTTCATAACTTATATTTAAAGTAACATTTAAAATACAATATAACGCGGCTGATGATTGTAAAACGAAAATTAAAATAATACCGCGAATGTTTCTTTTAAAAATCGAAATTTATTTTCAAAGAGAAATAGCGTTCTCCATTACTCTTCATGTTTCACCTTTCCATACCTCATCCTCAAAGTTAGAAATGTCGCTATTTCTCTTTGAAAATAAATTTCGATTTTTAAAAGAAACATTCGCGGTATAATTTTAATTTTCGTTTTACAATCATCAGCCGCGTTATATTGTATTTTAAATGTTACTTTAAATATAAGTTATGAACGGAAAAATACGTCCAGGGTAGCCGAGTGGACAAGGCACCTGCCCGGTAAGCAGAATGGTGTGGGTTCGATTCCTGCCCCTGGACACTTTTTATTTTTCCGTTCTCCATTACTCTTCATGTTTCACCTTTCCATACCTCATCCTCAAAGTTAGAAATGTCGCTATTTCTCTTTGAAAATAAATTTCGATTTTTAAAAGAAACATTCGCGGTATAATTTTAATTTTCGTTTTACAATCATCAGCCGCGTTATATTGTATTTTAAATGTTACTTTAAATATAAGTTATGAACGGAAAAATACGTCCAGGGTAGCCGAGTGGACAAGGCACCTGCCCGGTAAGCAGAAGGGTGTGGGTTCGATTCCCGCCCCTGGACACTTTTTATTTTTCCGTTCTCCATTACTCTTCATGTTTCACCTTTCCATACCCCATCCTCAAAGTTAGAAATGTCGCTATTTCTCTTTGAAAATAAATTTCGATTTTTAAAAGAAACATTCGCGGTATAATTTTAATTTTCGTTTTACAATCATCAGCCGCGTTATATTGTATTTTAAATGTTACTTTAAATATAAGTTATGAACGGAAAAATACGTCCAGGGTAGCCGAGTGGACAAGGCACCTGCCCGGTAAGCAGAAGGGTGTGGGTTCGATTCCCGCCCCTGGGCACTTTTTATTTTTCCGTTCTCCATTACTCTT